TCCCTACACTTCCTAATATGAGCAAGGATAATCACTTTCAAGATTTCAAACTATGAAATTGGTGAGTTTCACTGTATCATGACTCACTTGGGGTGCAGTCTCTGTGAACAGGGAACTACAAATAATAATACAGGGAAATTTTGTTTCACTAGGGTGAATAATTTTCTCCAGGGTCCCATAGGGCTCTGCCTGAGGGTTTTATACCCAGCTGAAAGTGTTCTAGAAAATGAAAGAGGAAGCTGGAGGTGCAACTCTTTATCATAAAGACCAATTTAACCTTCAGCCTATGCCTCCTCTTGCTCTGTGCCCGTGGTCAACCTTCATACACGGCTGGTATAAAGTCAGACATCTCAGGTCCCATTCCTAGCTTCGCTACTTATTAGTTGTATGGCAAATTACTTCTCTGGATCTGTTTCCTCATTTTTAAAATAAGGGAAACAGTACCTATCTCTTAGCATCTTGTAAGATAAGTAGGATGTAACACAGTTGCCTACAGAGCACTCAACAAATATTTGCTATCATTACTAATATCAAAAAGTCAAAGGAAATAAAACCATATGTTCAATGTTTAGACTGTCCTTTTAACCTCTTAGATGCACGTTGATATGAAGGTGTTTGATAATATCCAAACGCATAATAATGATGTAGATGTTTAATTAAGGTTTATGACATCAAAATTTAATTAAAGAATTGGTAGGGGAAAGAAAACAAAGTCTACCATAAAGCTTCCCAGGCTCTGCTCTGACCTAGAAGCTTCACTGGACTTGACTGCCTTTTTTAAAAGGGCGAGGGCATATCCACACAGTGCCGGGCTACAGGAGTTACAGAATGTCTCATCACACTTTCAAAGGCTTACAACGTTCTCTTGCGTAACTGGGAAGGTCAAAAGAGGCACCTTCCTGAAAGCTGAGAGTGTCATTTCTGAACAAGGTCCAAGAAAGAACATTCCATAGAAATCCAAGTCCAGCAACGACAGAAAGTGGTTTAAACCACACTATGCACTCTTAGGGGGCAACTTCTTAATATAGTCACATTAACATCTTTGATTTCTCCATGACCTAAAGATTCCAACGTTTGCCACAAACTGCTAAAGCCAGGGAGGCGGGAGGGAAAACAACCTCATGCAAATTTACCACCCTATGAAATTCCAAAGGAACTATAGGATTTTCTGTTATTTTCTAGAGCCAATCAGAGGAAGAAAGCAAATATGTGACTTGGCACTTCTGCCCAGTCAAGGTGAGGCTCTCTTTATAAGCTTTGGAGTGAAAGTGCAGCTAAAAACTAAGTTTGTACAGACACAGACCCACACATGAAGGGATGGCTGTGTGTCACTAGAGCAGAGACTGATTAAATACTGGGAGCATAGGCTCCCTGTGCCACTCCTAGAAAATAATGAATTGGGTAGGGAACAGTTAATAAGAAAATGTGCCTTGCTAACTGTGCACATTACAACAAAGAGCTGGCAGCTCCTGAAGGAAAAGGGCTTGTGCCGCTGCCGTTCAAACTTGTCAGTCAACTCGTGCCAGCAGCCTCAGCGTCTGCCTCCCCAGCACACCCTCATTACATGTGTCTGTCTGGCCTGATCTGTGCATCTGCTCAGAGACGCTCCTGACAAGTCGGGGATTTCTCCTTTTCTCCACTGGTGCAAAGAACGGATTTCTCCCTGCTTCTCTTCTGTCACCCCAGCTCCTCTCCCCAAGAAGGCTTCTTGATTTATGGTAGCTTCGGACTTCCTTCACCGTCTGCCTGTCCTTGACTTCTAGAATGGAAGAAGCGGAGCTGGTGAAAGGAAGACTGCAGGCCATCACAGTAAGTCTGCATACAGTTATAACTCATTAAGGTGGCTGCTCACAGGAACGGCAGACCCGTTTGCTCGCTGCCCCTGTTGCTGAAGGGGTAAGTGGGAAAACAGAACTCTCACCCTCCACCGGGGCAGTGTCTCTGCTTCTCCCTTAACCCTGTGACCCTCTGAAACTCTTGGGCTTCAGCACCTGAGAGCAGGGCAAATGCTCTAGATTTTCTCAGAAAGTACTTACATTTTAAACAGCAACCAAATGCATTTAAAGCTGTTTGATTAACTCTTAATCATCTTCTGTCTACCCTAAACATGTTTTTCCTTCAATTTCTATTTGACAGACATTAGATCAAAAGAGAGATCCTTACTCAGAAACTTTTAAAGGAATAGTGCACCCGAAGTTACTTTTGTAAAACGGGGGGGAGAGAAAAAGAAATCAGAAAAGCAACCTGAAACTTTTTAATCATCGTGTGGTAGTATATTCCAGAAAGCCTAACAGATTTAAAATGAATTTTGGTAAATTTAAGCTAAACAAGCAAAACGTAGGTAAAAGCATGTATCATATTAATTCTAACCTATCAGTTTCCAGCAGTCACAAACTAAGATCCTAATGAAGGAATGCAATGCATGCAATGGATTTGGAAAATATTTTGTTAATACCGGGAAGGAAAATAGTGCATTTTTTTAAATGTTTTCTCTGAGAAAGAATCAAAGCAAGAAATAAATTATTTATATTAACAGATCCAAATTATTTTTTCAATGTTCTAAAACTATGCATTTAGCTATAACCTGGAAATCTGTGGCAGAATTATTTATCATTAGCTACAACTTTTGATAATGTTCTTTTTTTATTTAGAAACTAACATTTCAACTTCTCAGCATATTTTGCCTCTGGAATTAGTTGTCAAGAAGACCTAAGTTCTTTTTAAAATGGATGCTAAATTAGGGTGGGTAGGAAGATTTTTTTCTTTGCTCTTCAAATTCTCATACCACTTCTGATCATGCTAATCCCAATTTAAGATTTTTATTAAATGGATACAATGTCTCAGTGTCATCTAGAAAATATTCAGTGAGTTGAAATGTTTTCTGAGCCAATGGTAAGGAACCAGAGGTCTATCGATGGGACTGGAACTTCGTAAGACAATGCTCTTTTAAATATCTAACGTCTAATTATGACATTTTCTTTTTCTCCGTAAACCTCAGTCTGGGTTGTTGTCTGTTTTGTTTTGTTCTTTTTGTTGTTAGACTCAGTCACCATTTCAGCTGTCCCGCTTAAGGCACAGGAACTGGGCCCTGCTCTGTTGTTCTTGGCATGGGCCTTCTACATTACAGCTGTTGTCTAAAGGTTACTTGATCAAACTGTGTGACTTGTGTGGGCACAAGCTCTGCTTTTCTAATGTTTCTGTCTCCTAATTAACTAAATGAAATACGCAAGGAGGCCCTTGTTCCACACTTTCCTTTGTGAATCGAGGCACACCCTTGCTTAAGCCCTTACTCTGCCCAGCGCACCCGTCTAACTCTTACCGAAGCAGCACTTGTTCGAGAGAGAGAGCTGTGTGCAGTTATCCAGGAAGACTGGGAATTTTTACAGAGGGTTCCAAATGCAAATAGAGTTAGAACACGAGTTGCAATGCTTTAAAGCAGTCGAGAAAGTAGATCGGTTCCTGCGTATACGGACATATGCTTTCCTGATTTCTTTTTTTAATTTGTAAGGCCTACATTTTAGATTATTTCATTAGATTAAATACATACAATTGAAAAAAAAAAAAAAAAATACTAAGAGCCCCAAATAAGATCACAGAGTAATTCTAACTTGGAAGTACTATACTTGTAGAAAGGTTATAGGGGGGAATATTGGCGGGGAAAAAAATTATGGGAACAAATATCCACTAGCTTACACTCACCAGGCTAAATCCAGTCACATTTGTCACCACCTAGGGGAAAAAATGGAGCAGTGGTGTGTCCATGGAAACCACACACCCACTCTCTGCTCTTGCTCACCTTGGGAAATGCCAACTTTCTCCACCCCTGCCTTACTCAGTAAGCCACTCAGCTCTGCACCTTTGCCCCAGGAGAATGAAAACATAGCATCGAGAGAGTTTGCAACGGTTATTTTATTTTCGGAAGTACTTAAAAATTTTCCAAATCTCAAACTCAGAGAGAAACTTTTCATTTTTAATCGGTCCTCTTATTTCTTTCTACTAAAATAATTTCTCTATTTACTTCAAGGACAATTATCAGAAGGTAATTGCCCAATTGCACTGCAACTCACAAATGTCATTCACTCTGGAAAAAAGAAAAACGTTTACGCACTAAGATCGATTTGATTTTTATATTCAAATTTACTTCTCTAATTCCTAGCTGAGAAATGAAATTATCTTTACCATTGTAATTATTTCACCTGGTTTCAAGAGTCCAAAAGCCATTATTTCCATGGCAAGGAACTAAACAAGTAAATGTATATGCCTATAACGTGATAGAACCCAGTGCCAGTCTTGGGTTTCTCTAAACACACACACACACACACACACATGCACACACGCACACACGCACACACACATTAAGGCAATGGAATACACTGACGCAGTCAAATTAAACTAAATTACTGTGGTAGTGCCATTTATTTCATGTATCAATAAACTGAATTTTAGATGAGTTAAAAGTCCTCTCAAAGACTTAAAGAGAATAAAGGCAAAATTACTAAAGTACAGAGAAACAATTATTTTTTTAAAAAGGTACTTTTGTTTGGCTATACCAAATGTAGATTCTATTTCATACAATTACCTTTGTGTGCCCCTTTATTAATTCACCCACGTGCCAACTCTTCCCTTACTAATCAAGGTCAAAGTAAACCTTAATTGTCAAAGTAACCCTTAGCCAAAGAGTGCAGTTTTCAACTCTAATTCAAAACAAGGTTGCTTCAAAATTATTAAAAATTACATTTCATCACTAAAAAAGTCCCTGAGGCCTTTTCCAAGTTAGTACATATTTCAAAAAATAGTTGATTTTGTCATTTGAAGCTCACTTTGAACACTACCAGAACCGATGGTGCCTGTGTCTCCAGCACTCTGCAGAAGAGTGAGGCACAGGGTTGAATGTGTCCCTGACAGCGTCATCTCTACAGAGCTCCGCTCTGTAAGTGGACATGGCCCACACTGAAGGACCGTAGAAAGGTCCAGGTGGATTCGTCTCTAAAACAGCGTGATCCCTTGAGGATCCTAACACTCTTAACATTCTCCCCCATAAGGAACACATTGTTTTATCTCTTCTCGTACCATGATGTTGCAAAATATGAGGGGCCTTCAACAAGTGAAAAATGAAATTGAAATATGAGTTTATTTCGATGCAAAAAAAATGTTGAAATCCATGCATAGTTTTTTCATGACACACATTTTCCCTGTGTATTATGCACTTTCTATTTTAATGCCAAAGGGTGTACACATGCATCAGAGACAGAGAGAGAAAATACCACCCAATGAGGCCTGGTCACACTACGCTCCCTTTTCTACTAATTCTCCTTCCCATCAGGATCCCAGACACATGTGTACCTGAAGTGTTTTTCAAGCTGACAGGGCCTACTTGAGACTCACACCCTGGCCGACTTTGTGCGATCTAGCTTCTAGCTTCCCCTGTATGGCATCTAACCACAGTGGTACCAGGTTGGCCCATCCATGAACTTCTTTTTCTAAGAATTATTTATTTAATTTTATTTATTATTATTTATTTTGACCATAGAAAGACAGAGAGAGAAAGGGAAAGTGAGGTCCAGGATATGAATCACAGTCACCCATGTGGGAATCCAGCACCTTAACCACCACACCACCTGCCAGCCCCCATCCATGAACTTTTTGAGGCCCTCTGATACTGTTACTATATAGAGACACTTAAACTAGAAAAGTCCTAGATCTTAAATCACCTAGAGATCATAGACTCACAAAATCAGTACTATTTGAGAGTTAGCTCACAAGAATTCTGAAGACTAAAATCAGTTTTTAGAAAACCAACCTAGATGAGAAAAAAAAGTATTAAGAATACTGATTCTTTTTATCTCCTCCAGGCTTACCTACTAACCATTAAGAATATGTGCCATCAACTCATTCTCTCATGCTTTCATTCAGTCAGTGGTAATTGGACATCTCTTAGGTCATCAGGAAAGTCATGACTTATTTTTCTGTTTTTCTATGCAAAAATGCATCATGACTTTCCTGATGACCCAATAGTATGTGCCAAGCCTTATGCATCTAAATGAAAATAAGTAAAATAAGGGGAAATGAGAGGGATGAGGATAAGTGGGCTGCAATTTCAAAAAACATGGTCAGGGTGGGCTTCCCAGTGACATTTAAGCATAGACGTGAAGGAGGTGAGCTCTGTCAAAACTTAGGCAGTGATAATCACGAGCACAAGCATCTGCCCAAGACTGCCTGCATTTGGAAAGAAGCTATATACAGTTCTGACACTGGCATTCGAGCAACAGAGCCAGATTTGTCAGGCAGAGAGGCTCATCTCACACACACACACACACACACACACACACACAAAGTTCTTACATTTCCCCAGATTCACTCTTTACTTTTTTACGCTGCCACAGAATATTTTGATTCATGAATATATGAATTAATGAGGTAAGTAGTTTTTTATGTAAAACAGAAATATCTTCTATACAAGGGCCGGCAGGTGGTATGGTGGTTAAGGGAACTGGACTCCCACATGGCCGACCATGGTTCAAGTCCTGGACCTGGAGGCTGGCTTTCTCCTCTCTCTCTCTCTCTCTCTCTCTCTCTCTCTATCCCCCCACCGCCCTCCCTCTCTGGTCAAATTAAAAATAAATACATAAAGTTAAATTTTTAAAACAAGAAAATATCTCCCCAGTACCAGCCCCAATATTAAAACAACATAAACAAGAACACAATTCTAATTATTTTTATTCCCTTTCACTGGGTGCTCCACCTTATTTTGCTCTCTTTTTGCAAATTCTGCAATCTCCTAACTTAATAAAACAATTATTGATCTCCCC